ATTTTATAGTTATTGATATTACTTGAATTGTTTATTTTAAAAGAATAATATATTCTTTACCGATTTGTTAAACAGAAAGTATTTGTTGAATATTGCAGAGCATTCTGTATATATTTACGATTTTATTTTTCGATTTTTCGACCCTTAATTTTTTTGCTCCTCTTCAGGATTTTTGTGTGTAAGGTAAACTATACCTGTGTAGTATAAAATAAAATTTTAATGACGCTAAGTATTGGCGTGTGTAAAATGAAAATATTTTTGAAATTAATTTTCCTTACACAGAATTATATTGAGAAAACGATCAACAAATTATTTAATAGGGATATAAACAGGGTGTTCATTCATCAGGGTGAGATTCTAGAGGCCAAAATAAGACGAAAATCAAGAATACTAATTTGTTGATTGAGGCTTTGTTAGAAAGTTATTAACGTTCAAAGTTTTGCCTGTAGAATGGCAATTTGTCCAACTACTTGAATTTTTTTCTCGAAAGTGAGTAGGATTTCGAGGGTATGTCTATTAACCAAAAATGTTTATAATAGACCCCCGCAACCAATAATATATTTTTTTAGAACGATTTGAAATTTTTTAATTTCGTCCAAAAATGTCATACTTACTCGAATTTTTTTCTCGAAAATGGGTAGTATTTCGAGGGTATGACCATTCGCCAAAAATGATTGTAATTAACCCCCATGACAGAAAATAATTTTTTTAGAATGATTTGAAATTTTTTTTTCGTCGAATAATTTAGGCACCTTTTACCCTCTGTCGATTTTTCTTAGAAATTCGTTTATGATTTTTAGTAATTTTATTTGACGCCCTACAGAAAAGTTGTCTAATACTTTTTTCTAGGTACTTCTGAGCTCTACTTCAGAAAAAAGTATCTTTGAAATATATTCACTATTGTCGGAGTTATGGCTGTTTGAAAATTGGGCCAGTTTTATGGAGTTTTTCTCACTTTGAGAGGTCAAATAACAACTTTTTGAATATTTTTGGAATTTCTGCGTATTCTTCACCGAAATACGCGTTGTTTGCATCTTGAAACATTAAAATCGTCCAATCCGTTCAGGAGTTATGATTTTTCAAAGATTCACGTGTAATTTCGGGGAACGATTTCAAGGCCTCAAATTGTATTTTCGGTAAGGAATTTTTTTCTCGAAAGTGCGTTGGATTTCAGGGATATGTTTATTGACCAAAAATGATTATGATTGACCCCTGCAACTAAAAATATTTTTTTTAGAACGATTTGAAATTTTTTAATTTCGCCCAAAAATATCAGCATCTATTCGAATTTTTTTCTCGAAAATGCGTAGGATTTTGGGGGTATATCCCTTCACCAAAAATGATTGTAATTAATCCCCGCAGCTAAAAATAATTTTTTCAAAATAATTTGAAATTGTTTAATTTAATTTTTTAATAACTTTTTAACGAAGCCTCAATCAACAAATTAGTATCCTTGTTTTTCGTCTTATTTTGTCCTCTAGAATCCTGCATTAAAATTTTTCCCAGGGGCGACCGAACACCCTGTATACATATAAAGAATAGTTTTGTCTAAAGAAAATTTTACTTATATGTTTAATATAAAATAAAATAATTAAGGTATTATATGTGACATAAAAATGTTTTTTAAATTAATTTTCCTTACACAGAATTATATCGAGAAAAATCGAAGACGTTAAAAAAACATCATTTAATAAGAATATACACTAAATGCTCTACAGTTTAACAGGTCCTTTTTAACAAATCTATAAACTACATATACAGATAAAAAAATAATACTATACAAACATTTAATAAAATTCCAATCTCTACAAAATCTGTACCAAAGACAGAGAACTTTATAATTCTTCCAACAACCAGAAGACATATTACAACTACATTCGATCCCATATTCACGAAACTTGTTTCCACGTTCAAATAAATAAATTCCCCCGTTATTTATACGTCCGCGAATAAATGAATGCTCGAGCAAAGTAATAAGGGGATTTAATGGTAAAATTTTTCCAACGAATTTCGGTAGAATTGTTTTAATTAAGTTCTGACTCGGCCACAGTATGCAATACGGGGTTAACCAGTATGCATATTAATACCGATGCGAGCGGCACCTGTTTACATATGCGTTGGAACAACATTATTCAAGCCTGTAAATCGTTACGCGTCACCCAGTTAGCCCTGTTTACGGAGGTCCAAAATCTCGTTAGGGCGCGTTACTCGTGGCTTATTTAGCATGCATCCAAAATCTTCTAGCGCGCTGAGCATTCGCTATAAATATGTAGATCAGTAGCCACGGCGTGCCTGTCGTGACGATACTCGCCCACATCGTAATAAGAGGGCTTCTTTCTCGAGGGTGAAATCGTTTTCGGGTACCTTTTTCCCAGCCAATGCATTCCACAGTCATTACCAGAAGGACACCAGTTTCCTCCCTTTTCTCGAATGCTTTTATTATATTCGCTCTCTCATCCCTCGACGCTCGTGTACACACTCGTTCCGTGATTTTTCCTGCCACCCCCTCGTGCAACAACCCCCGGACGATCGGAGATCGGGCGACAGCTCCTTCGAAGCTTTTGTCGTCTTCCCTGTCGTCTTCACTGCTCCGTTTTCCGCGTCGAGAATCTGAAAAAATAATCGGGACCACCCACGCCACGAGCTCCTTCACGAGTGACTGATCGATCTGTCGCTAGAATCGACGATCTGACACGCGTTTAAGTGACTCTTTTCGGTGTCTTTAGGAAGGTCAGAGTGATATAGTGGATGTAGAAGTTACTGACAATAGGGTTTCATAATTGTTTTATAGTGGTTACTCTTCTTTATGAAGCATATTTTATCGTTTACAAGAGGATTCCTTAAATTTTTGAGCATATAAAACCTGTTCAATGAAGGCATTCTAATATGCAAGTAATTGCACAAAGGTAATGGAAGTTTAAATGGCTTCGAAAGTATTGTTCAATATTTAGATGAATATAAAATAGAATAAGAGGGAATGAGAAAACGTAATAGAAAATGATGAAATTAAAAGTAAGTTAAAGTCGAGTCGAGTAGAGTCAAAGTTAAAATCAGGACTAGTCAATTAAATTAAGTTAAAATCAAGTCAAAGTCAAGGCAAGTTAAGTTAAGTCAATCAAATCAAATTCAAGTCAAAACGAGCCAAGGCAATTCAATTAAGGTAAAGTCAAATCAGAGATGAGTAAAGTCAAAGTCAAGACGAGTCAAGTCAAAGTCAAAACGAGTCAAGCCAAGCCTATTAAATCAAGTTAAAGTCGAGTCGAGTAGAGTCAAAGTTAAAATGAAGACTAGTCAACTAAATTAAGTTAAAATCAAGTCAAAGTAAAGGCGAGTTAAGTGAAGTTAATTAAATAAAATTCAAGTCAAGACGAGCCAAGGCAATTAAATTAAGTTGAATTCAAATCAAGGCGAGTCAAATCGAAGTCAAAACGAGTCTAGCCAAGCCTATTAAATCAAGTTAAAGTCGAGTCGAGTAGAGTCAAAGTTAAAATCAAGGCTAGTCAACTAAATTAAGTTAAAATCAAGTCAAAGTGAAGGCGAGTTAAGCCAAGTTAATCAACTCAAATCAAGTCGAGTCAAGTCAAGACGAGCCAAGGCAATTAAATTAAGTTAAAGTCAAATCAAGTCGAGTCAAGTCAAGGCGAGCCAAGCCAAGCCAATTAAATCAAGTTAAAGTCGAGCCGAGTCAAGTCAAATTGTAGCCACGACGCGTCAAGCCGTCAATTAAATTAAATCCAAGTGAAGTCGAGTCAAGTCAAAGCCAAGATGACTCAACCAAGTCAATAAAAGTAACTCGAAACCCAGTAGAATCAAGTCAATCATAAAATTAAGTCAAAATCTAGGTATTAATGCACATACAATAAAATTTGTGACATCATATATTTATAGTTACAATTGTCGTAGTACTAAAATTAAATTTAGAATCGAACTAACCAGCTAAATTTCACAAAAATTAGCATGTTCCCTGTAATGGTTCCCCCAAAAATGTTTCTCCATGCTCGCTGGCGTTTGGGAAGCCCCGTTTCGTTTCTCGTTCGGAGTCGCCGGGATAATCGCGCGATGGAATCCCCGGGTAAAAACTCTCGGAGCGCGATTTAAAGTAACCGCTCGGGTGCTCGAAATTTACAGGCGTTGCCGCGGGCGAAATAATTGCGGCCACTCTGGCGCTTCTCATTTCGACGCGCGTGGACGTGCAAACGTTGTACGGTTCGACGTAGCCGATGTGCGCCAGCGCACAGTTGCACCACGGTCTACCGTCGTCCTGTGGCGCATCGGACGCTTTGAAACACCGTCAGTCCTGTCGAGGATCCTTCTAAGGGTGCTCGCTCCATTCACCCCCCGAGGATCCTTCGACTTCTCTCTGGAAATCGGTCCGCGGTTTTCCTCTTTAATCCCGTGGCGCGTCAAAATATTTCCACAGTGATTAAAAAAAAGAAAATTTAACCTTGAAAAAGGAGCAGACCTTCACACGTTCGACGAAAAAATCCTCTGTCGACAGTCACGAGTTTCATTCTGCATTAATTGGTTACGATTCTTATGCTACTTGGAGCAAACAGTGACTCTTAAAACAATTTTATTCGATGCTCTGAGAGGAGAGTTTTCATAGTTGGTATTTTGCATAAATTGGTTTTATTTTACACTGCTTGGAGCAAACAGTGATTTTAAAAATAATTTTTTAAAATTTATTAAACAACGCCAGAGATTTTATTCTTCCGTAATAATACTTTTGCTTTGTATGAATTAGTTACATTCTACGTGTCCGAGTAGTGGCTTTTAAAGTAATTTAATTTTATTCATTGGAAGTGGAGAACAGATTTTCTCGTGTTTGTTGAAGGAAGTTACAGAGGCCACCGAAGGTTTCACATTCCCATAACAACCTTCATCCTCCTACTCACGGTAACAGTGTTTTTTAAACTAAATTCTTCACATGTTCCTTGAAGACCCCTGCACGAAGATTGCACAGTCACTGAAAGTGTTACTTCCTCTCCAAACGAGTTATCATGTGCTCACACAGAGAAACAGTGAAAGTGTTCATAGTGACTCTATCAAAACCCCCAGTGATAATTTCCAAATATAAAACTACAGTGATAGTTCAGTGCTGATCAACGCAAGGCGTTACTTCAATAAACATTAGAGACTCGTGATTCTCCACCAAGGCAAAGAAGACTCGATCAGATGTCGCCGTTGCTTCCAACCCCCGCAAGAAACTTGGCCACCCGGTGCAGGATTCGTCGGTGACTGGGCGAAAAATGTGTCCACGATGTCCGGTGGCTCGAGTCCCAAACTGTCCGCGATATTTCCTCGGATGGACAACGGTACGAAGCCGAAAAGCAAGATCTGCAAGCTGACTTCCACCAAAGCCTCCACGTCCCCCGTAACAGCGAGCTCAAAGAAGTCGCAGAAATCGAATTCCGACTCCCCCGCCTCGAGTCCCGCCAAGTCTCACTCCTCCGTGTCCTCGACGTCCCCTCGACGAATTCCCCCGGGCGCAGAGTCGACCAAGAGGTCCCCGAGAAAGTATTCTCAGCTGGAGGATCGACAACAGGCGTCCCCGAAACGTTCACCGCGGAGATACGTGTCGATCTTCGAGGAGGATCTGCAGATCGAGATGGGTTTGGGGCTGAGGGTGTCGACGAGCTGCGGGGACGAGCCGGAAATGTCCTTTCTGGAGTTCGAGTCGCTGTACACGCTGGAGAAGGAGCTGATGCAACGGCAGGATGCGGGTCAGTTGGACGAGAAATGCGTCGGTGGTTGGATGGGCAGACGCGGTTTGTACACGGAATTACCTGATCCGATGTACCAGCAAGCGAACGCTGCAGCCGCTGCACCGTCGCAGATACCGATGGAGGGATTCAGCTTCGCGCCAGGGTGGTCTCTGAACGTGGAGCACTTCTATCAGTGGCAGCATCGGGGCAAGACCACGCAGCAGGTATCGACACTTTCTCAAATCGATTGGTTCGCGATGGACGTTGGCATGAAAGGATATCCAACCACAGTATAATAGTGGATAAGAATATGATATGCTTGGGTTACTTGTACAGGGTGGTTTGTGCAATTTGCGCACCTCTGTAACTTCCAAAGTATAGTAGAGATAATTTTGTATCGAAGAGGTTGTATAATTTGATGGGGTATATGCAGTGCATTTGGGACTTTTTAAAGGTGAAGACGTACTGGATAAAAATATAAGACACTTAGATTACTTGTACAGGGTGCTTTGTGCAATTTGTGCATCTCTATAAATTCCAAAGTATGGTAAAGATAATTTTGTATCGCGAAGGTTGTATAATTTGATGGGGATATGTAGTGCATTTGGGACTTTTTAAAGGTGAAGACGTACTGGATAAAAATATAAGACACTTAGATTACTTGTACAGGGTGGTTTATGCAATTTGTGCATCTCTATAAATTCCAAAGTATGGTAATGATAATTTTGTATCGAGAAGGTTGTATAATTTGATGGGGATATGTAGTGCATTTGGGACTTTTTAAAGGTGAAGACGTACTGGATAAAAATATAAGATACTTAGATTACTTATACGGGGTGGCCCATGCAACTTATGCACCTCTAGAAATTCAAGTGGGCTCAAAAAAATTTTGTACGGGAAGGTTGCATAATTTGGAGAGGGTACACTATGCAGTGCATTTGATTTTTTTTTATAGTTGATGATGTTTTGGAGATTTGAAGGTTAATTTTGTGTTTTTATACGAAAATATGAAGGAATATCAAATTTTGAGTGAAAAAGTATTTCTACGAATTGTTATATTTAGGGGTTGAAACAACCCTCTACAAAGCTCCTATTTCATTAATACCATTATATTAATAAAAACATGAATTTGCCTAAAGATCCACAGTCTAATAATGAGATTGTCACCACTTTGATATTACGTGCAGTAAATTTTATAAACAATATAACCATTATATCGAGCCCTATCTAGATTTATTTTCTTTAACATCTAATTTTGAGAAATCATTTTTTTTAAATCTTCCTCGGTCAAAAATCATGTGACCCATATATGGGTCACGTGGCATTCAATGCGTCAAATATTGATATAATAACAAATTTCTATTTAGAAGTACTAAAGTGGTATTTGTTGTTCGTCTCGTATTTCTGACGAGATTTTCAGAATTTTATCTCAGGTCAGATTCAAGGTCCGTTGCAAATGGGCGGCGCGAAACGAAATCCTCGCAAAGCATGGTCGTTTTTTTTGTTTTTCAATTTCCGGCGGAAAATGACGGGCGCAAAGTACCCGTGGCCGGGAACTGCCCGCGGGAACGAACGAAATGAAGTAAAACTCGATATCGTCGTGCCGCAAATTTGCAGCTCGGTTTCCGAAATTAGCTCGATGAGGGACGCGAAAATCGGCTCTCGCTCGAATCCGCCTCGAGGGCCGAAGCGCGTAGAAGCCGAGGGACAGGAAGGAGCGAGAGGGAAGGACGAGGACTACGTGGAAAGCAATGAAATATAGCCGGGAAGAAGAAAGAAGTGAAAGGTACAATGCAAAAAATAAAAAAAAAAGAAAAACAGACGAGGAACGGGGAAACGCGTGACGCATAGAACCGGGTTCGAAACACGAACGTGGACGCGAGTAAATACAGGTAACCAACCGTACGGAACGCGAACTGTGGAGAGAAAGAGAGGTGGGACACGCGTTAAACGTATTCGAGTTGGCGTTCGTACTCGACTGACGGCGAGCTTCGGCGAAATTGCTTCCGTTTTTCAATTAATTCGAAACGCGAACGCGAACACGATCTCCGGACCTACGGCTACACACGCTGGCCCAGCGAAGAGACAAACGGCGACGCGTGTTCCTGACAGCTGATTTCGAATTCGAGCGACCGCGTAACCGCGTACATTCTGCGTTCGCGAAGAGCCTCGAAAGGCTTCGCGACTCGAGCACGAGGCGCTTAGGGTTAAGTAGATACTTCGTTGCAGGGGTTGAAAACAGTCGAAAACTAGCAGATTTGGGTCTTGAAACGATCATGGAGAACCGAACGTTCGATGTAACATTGATATCAAAATAAGTTCTGAGAAATTGTGGGTGGACTAGTTTCCAAGTGTCTGGGAACAAAGTTTGGTAATTCCAATGTTAGACAACTTCGAACATTCAACTTTCTTCGCCAGTTCAAACAATAGAATATTCGAATACCAAAGTTCCGTAACGTTCAAATATTAAATCCCTATCCCTATATTGCATCTCCATGCAACGTTGCGTAATATTGATTCGATCAAGAAAATCAATTTTGCACGCGTTCTTCGTTCCTTTTCCGTTAAAACCGAGCGATTTTTTTCGGGGCAAAGTACTCTTAAGGATTCTTCGAAAGAGGGTGGATTCGCGAGGTTATCAAATATGCTGCCCGAGGGTGTGAAGGTACTTTGATCAACCCCAAGAAGGTTGCGTTTCTCTTCCCGGATTCGCTCTCTGGCGATGTTTACTTTAAGGGATGCTACCAGCATCTTCCAGCTCGTAGGAAGGACTTGCATTTCTCTTCCTTATACATATTACAAGGGCACGGTTTCTTTGTTCCTCCGACGAGGACGAGAAGTCGCTTTCATTACCGAGGAGTTCCGTGCCCCGTGATCGTTGCCACGATCAAAGGAGAAATTGACTTTGTTTATTAGCCGACGCAACCCCGTCCGTTAAAGTAATTAGCCGAGGATGCGTGAAATACGTCGGCGAAATCGCGCGGTAATTTCGACGACAAAGGAATGCGGGATAAAAGCAGACATCTCGTAACACCTTTAGTGCACAATGGCTCGATATAATATCCGCGCACTATGGTACTTTGCGCATGATTGCCTCCCGTGTACGCTTAAACTGGCTCAGCGAGAATTAAGTTTAGATTAATCTATTAGAGACCTCTAATTCTGGCTGGTAGAAATGTTAACTTTAATTTAAAACGTCGTCGTGCTTGCTTTGGAAATATTTCTTGAGGATGAGACATTTTTTGGGGGGAAATTAAAATCGTTAAGGGTCAATTTTTCTGGGAGAAAGTATAACACGTACGAAGTTAAATTTTTGTACAGTTGTGTGTTTACTCTTTCATTACACAAATGTAGATCCACACAAATATTTTTTAATTTAGGGAAATTAAAATCGATCCATTACTAAGGATCAAGTTGTATATCTTTGAGAATTTTTCTACGAGAAACTATGACACATACGAAGTTAAACTTTTACACAATTGCGTGTTTACTCTTTCAATACACAAACGTAAATTCCCACAGTTGAAGATAAAATATTTTTTAGATTGGGGAAATTAAAATCGATCCCTTTCTAAGGATCAAGTTGTATATTTTTGAAAATTTTTCTACGAAAAACTATGACACATACGATGTTAAACTTTTGCACAATTCTGTGTTTACTTCTTTCAATACACAAATGTAGATTCACAAAGCTGAAGATAAAATATTTTTCAGATTGGGGAAATTAACACTTTGACTGCCACGTCACCCATATATGGGTGACAGAACTTTTAACAGTAGAACTATAGCAACGAATTCTCAAGTTGAAATGATAAAAAAAATAAATTTTAATAGGCTTCGTAAATTTTAATGAGGTTACAAAAGTAACTGCTACGACAACTTTTAAGTTGTGTAGTTTACAATTGCCTAAAATGAAAGTTTTGGTCTCGTGAACAATTTTAGGATTTTAGACTGGCAGTTAACGTGTTAAAATCGATCCCTTACTAAGGATCAAGTTGTATATCTTTGAGAATTTTTTTACGAGAAACTATGACACATACTAAGTTAAACTTTTGCACAATTCTGTGTTTACTCTTTCAGTACACAAACGTAAATTCACAAAGCTGTTTGTTATTTAACGTTGATTCTTTAAAAATTGTCTGTGAATTACGAATTAAATATAATTTAATTTTATGACTATGGGTGGCTGTGATCCGTATTAAAATAAAAAACTTGCTATAATTATTTATCAAACAATGGTAAAAAAGCAACGTGCAATTCTCCATTTTTATTATTTATATATCTGGGCAAATTTCAAGTCAGAAATCATTCAGAGAAAATTGTATTTATATTTTTATGCACCATCAATTTCTGTGGAATATTTGAATAGGACCCAAGGTCGAGGGATTCGTCAAATAAATAAATAGTGGTTGTTTGGACACGTATACGCCATAATAAAAGTACACAGGTGTTCGTTGTACACGCCTCAGTACGAAATGGCGTCACCGGCGGGGGTGGAATAAAGAGAATAGAGAAAAAAAACGTGTGCATACAATGTTGGCGGAGAGCCAGATCGTCGAAACGTATTTCATCGGCGGGAGAAGAGGGAACGAAGAATTTGTAGGGAATAGAACTGTGTATACGTGCCTCTTCCGGCCGATTACATTCGACAATATGTCGACTTCTGCATCAATTTGATCGCTGCAGCTGTTTACGACGACGTGATGCGATATACACTCGAAAAGTGCCCATTGTGCATTTATCCTTTTATATACGAAAAGAAAAGTAATAATTTATATCGCTGCTTGCTGGAAAATTAGTATTCTTGTCGTCCCAAACATTGATTTGAAATTACTTTATTTTATACATTTTTACTTACAATTTCTTTTGTCTTCTTTGGTAACATGTATTCATGTTGCTTGGAAAATTAGTATTCTCATTGCCCCAAGCATTGCTTCGAAATTACTTTATTTTTACTAGCAACTTCTTTTGTCTTCTTTGGGGAAGAAAAACGGTAATTTGTATTGTTGCTTGCTGGAAAATTAGTATTCACAACTGTTGCCCTAAGTATTATTTTGGAAGTATTTTATTTCAAACGTTTCGATCACTAATTTTGTTCTAATCTTTAGTAACACGATTCTGTAATACAAAAAGGATAACATTGAGATTATTTTAAGGATAAAATTATTAGATAAGTAATCATATGATTTTACGAAAGTCGTGTACTATTATTATAGAAACTATT